CGCAGCAGGGGGCCAGACGGTCACCGACAAGGGCCAGAGAAAGTTGCAGGTCGTGACAGAGACGTGGCAGCAACGGTCCATGAAGAGCCGCGTCGGGCCGGTCCGCCGCATGCTGCTTGCTGCCAGTGATCTCGTGGACCACGGAACCGGGTTGTTCTCCAGAAGAACGGTAGTTACGTGGAGCACATCGGCACGAAGCAGAGGACACCTCTCAATCGCGCCAACGGGATATTCCTCATGAAGTTGTGGGAAAAGAAGAACAGCGCGCCTAAACAGCAAGGCGCCGAGGCCGCAACGAACCCGATGGAGATAGACCAGATGATCGCAGCGCTCCAGAAGCTAATCAGCACCGGGGGCACGGAGGTGCCCACGGGGAGCGTGGTCGAGTCGAAGGTCGCTGAATCCATGGGTTTCTTCCGGCAGGTCCAGCCGTAAGACCGTCGGAGGCCAAAGTTTCACCACCAAGAGGGCAGCTAGCCCCTAATACCACTTGTTCTCACACTGTTTCACATGTTTCTCCGACTGAAGTAATGCCATTGGGTGCGGGTAGCACCGCCCATGGCTCGGGCCCTGTGGCCCATGCAAACGGCAGTGGCCCCAACCAAGGGCCAGCGGCGAGAGGTGCGGGAGGCTCCGCCCTCGAGGAGAGCGCCGGCAGCGGCGCCCAAGACAGCAGGGACGACCCCATGGGTCCACCCAGGGATCCGCCTGCACAGGCCCCTCCGGGAGCAGAGGTCCCGGTGGAGGAGGAGTTCAGTTGTAAAATCTGCACTCCAATGAGGTCGCCTTGCGACCCGACACCGAAAGAGGTGGAGGAGCACGAAGCGTCGCAACACTTGCCGTTTCGGTCTTGGTGCCCAGACTGCGTGAAGGGGCGCGGGGCAGCGACGGCCCACGCAGACCTCGCAGCAGAACTAGAGCACGAGACGCCGACGATCTCCACTGACTACTTCTTCTTGGGTGGTTCTGACCAGCAGGCACTCGCATGCCTGGCGAAAGTGGACCACAAGACCCGCCTAAAGACTGCGCGGGTGGTTCCCCAGAAAGGGTCCCATGAGGCTGTAATCAAGCAGGAAGCCCGTGATATCAAGAACTGGGGAAGGACGAAGTTCATATATAAGTCAGACCAAGAGAGCCCAATAACCGCAATGAAGGACGGTGTGATCGCCCAGCTGGGGACGGACTTCGAGGTCATCCCAGAACCTTCTAAGGTTGGAGAGTCACCGAGCAATGGCACGATCGAAAGAGCCATACAAGCCATCTCTGGGATGGTCAGAACCCTGAAGGTGGCGACAGAGAGAGCGTTCAAGATCACTCTTGATCCCCGGTCGAACATTCTGCACTGGCTGGTGCAGTTCGCTGGTTTCTCGTTGTCCAGGTACGAGCAGGGCGCCGACGGCAGGACGCCGTACGAGCGTGCAAAGGGCAAGCGTTTCAAGCTTGGCCTCCCAACCTTCGGGGAGAAGGTCTTCTATAGGAGACTTCGGAGCGACAGCGGCCGTCTGAACAAGCTTGACCCCAAGTGGTTGGAAGGAGTGTTCCTGGGGTGTAGAGATGATGTCCCGGAGTTCTTCATCGGTACGAAGGACGGCGTGGGCAGGTCGGCAGACATTCGTAGGCTGCCGCCGAGCAGCCGTTACGATGCGGAGGCGCTCTTAGCCGTCAAGGGAACGCCGTTGGACCCTGTCCCAGGAGACACAGCAGCGACGCTGCCAGCGTCGTCAGGGCTCGTGGTCATCGATGTCCCAGAGCCATCAATGGTGCCACCAGATCCTCCGAGACATGAACCAGAGGTCTTGTCGAAAAAGCGCGTGTACATCACGAAACAAGATCTCAAGAGGCATGGCTGGACACGAGGGTGTCCGCGCTGCGAGGCGGACATGAGTGGTCAGAAGACGACCCTGCACCACACGGAGGGATGCAGGAGGCGCCTGGAGGAAGCAATCGGGAGAACTGACCAGGGCAAGAAACGCCTCCGAGAGGCCGACGAACGGATCACCGAAGCCTTGGCCGACCATGTCCGGAGACAGGTGGAGGCCCAGCAGCCCGAGCAGGGCGCGGGAAGCTCCGCACCTGCGAGCAAAGCACCACGGGCTGGCAGAGTCGCGGGAAGCACCGCACCTGCCGCGGCAGCAGGGCCGGTAGCAGGGAGCGCGGGTAGTTCCGCCCCCGCTTCCGGGGCCCAGCCGGCAGACGCCGACATGCCGCAACCAAGCTTACCTATGGCAGTAGACGCGGGTAGCACCGCCCCTGCCAGTGTCCTGGGCGGCGACGCCATGCCCATGGAGGACACGAGGCCAAAACGGAAGGCCGAGACAAGTGCTGAGGTGGACTTCCTCAGCACGGCCCTGCGGGAGTTGGGCGCCCTGGAGGCGCCTGACTGCACAGCCAGACAGACCACCTCGGAGTGGTTAGGGTGCACGGGGGGCCGCGTGTTTGACATCAGGAGAGTGGACCCTGATGACGGCAGTTCCTGGGACTGCAGCCTTCCAGCGAAGCAGCGGAAGGTACTCTGGATGATCGAAGACGGCAATCCAGATCTTGTTGTGGGTTCACCAATGTATCATTCCTCAAACCCTCTTCATCATCTTCGTGAATGTTTTTCAATTTATAGGAGGAGGATGGAGGAGGGGAGATACTTCTTACACGTGCAACCTGATTGTGACACTTCGGCCTGGACGCTGGCTGGCGCAAAGGAGATTCTCAGGCAGGACCGGGTGTACCTCGGGAGAGCGAAGGGTGTATGTTGGTTGTCCAACGGAAAAGAGCTAGCAGGCCGCATGGCATCCCTTCTTCCAGGACAGCCGGCCGACACAGCTGTCGTCCAGGGCCTCGAGGCACAGCTCAGAGCAGACGGGAGGATCAAACCTCTTTTCGCTTGTCCCCTGGAGCCGGAGGAGGACTTGCACGAATACCCTTCCATGGGTGATTGGTGTGATCATTCGACGGAACAGTATGTAGACGACGTATCAGGTTGTGTGCTTGATCCCACGTTCGTGAAAGGGGCCCGCGAGGCCGAGTTGAGAGAAGTTGATGACTTCAAGGTGTACAAGTGGGCTCCTGTGGAAGAGGCCGTGCAAGTAACAGGAAAGAAACCGATTGGCGTCCGTTGGTCTGACACCAACAAAGGAAACCATAACAACCCCAACTACCGGAGCCGCCTCTGCGCCAAGGAGCTCAAGGTCAAAGATCCCGGAAAAGAGGGGACTTTCGCAGCGACACCGCCGCTCGAGGCGTTGCGCTTCCTATGCTCCTTGATGATGACCGCGCCTGGAGGGGAGGACGCGGAGGCGCAGCAGCGCGGAGACACGTTGTTGTTGTTCATGGACGCTACACGTGCCCATTTCCACAGGCCCACGGATGAGCTGATCTACGTGGAGGCGCCGCCAGAGCGACACCGCCCAGGGTGGTGTTGGCGCCTCTTGAAAAGCATGTACGGGACCCGCCGGGCAGGACACAACTAGGAGCGGTTCTACACGAGCGTGCTGGTCGAGCGTCTTGGTTTTACCCAGGGCTTGAGCAGCCCATGCTTGTTCCTACACGGTAAACGCCGTGTGAGGGCTTGGGTGCATGGAGACGATTTCGTGTTTCTTGGATCACGCGTGGATGTCCTCAAGGTGGAAGAGCAGATACGGCAGCACATCAAGATGAAGAAAACTGGCTTGCTGGGTCCGGGGCCCCACGACGACAAGGAAGTCCGATGCTTGAATCGAATCATTCGGCTCGACACTGCAAGGGATTGTCTTGAGTGGGAGTGCGATCCAAGGCACGCACAGATCACAGTCGAGCAGATGGGTCTCCGGAAGGACTCCAAAGGAGTGGTGACTCCTGGTGTTTCTACCGCAGTGCCGGACCCAAAGGACGATCCAGTTCTCGATAGAAGTGCAGCCACCCTCTTCCGTGCAGTGACCATGAGGACAGCGTACCAATCAATAGATCGACCAGAGTTGCTATATCCAGCCAAGGAGGCAGCAAGGGCGATGCAGAACCCGACGAGAAGCGCGCTGGAGAAGATCAAAAGGATCGCTCGCTATCTCGTGTCGGCGCCGCGGGTCGTGCAGGTGTTTCACCGTCAGCCGGAGCAAAGCAAGCTGATTCAGTACACTGACACGGACCATGCCGGGTGTAAGGTCACTCGCAGGTCAACTTCTGCAGGGACAACAATGCACGGCAGCCACATGTTGGCAGCGTATTCTACGACGCAGAAGCCGATAGCCACTTCTTCTGGAGAGTCGGAGTACTACGGCATGTTCAAGGCCGGGTCGCGCCTTGTGGGAATGGCCCTCATGGCCAAGGACTACGGCTTGACATACAAGGCCGAGCTCCGGGCAGATGCTTCTGCAGGCATCGGCATAGCATCGAGGCGTGGCATTGGCAAGATACGCCACCTGCACACGCAGGCACTGTGGCTACAGCAAGCAGTGGCCGATAAGCGCCTGAGCGTTGTGAAGACCAAGGGAGAGAGCAATCCAGCCAATCTTCCCACGAAGCACGTCGACGGGAAGACGATGTGGCAGCATCTGGCAGACCTCGGTTTCGAGCTCCGGAGTGGCCAGAGCAAGCTCGCCATTGAAGTGGCGAGGGATGCGTAACCTCCACGGCACAGTAGCCGGATGGCTTGGGTCAAAAAAAAAAAAGAAAAAAAAAAAAATAAAAAGCGGCTTGTCGGGAGCACCGCGCCGGAAAGGCGAAGCGGGTAGAAAGTACAACAAAAAAACAAAAAAGAAAAAAAAAAAAATGAAAAAAAAAAAGAAAAATAGAAAAAAAAAAGGAAGAAAATAAAAAAACGAAAGAAAAAAAAAAAAAAAAAAAGATAAAAAAAAAAACAAATAAACCATAAAATATATAAAAAAAAATAAGCTCCGCCCCCGTTGTGCTACGCGTAGTGCGGGTAGTTCCGCCTATGAGAGTGCGAAGGCAGGCCCATGTGAACCACCGTGCGGGGAGCCCCGCCGTGGAACCCACACTCTACTACCTGACAGGGCGCGGTCTCACCAAGCGAGGGCTTGGCGACGTCCGCGAGAAGGGGTGTTGAGGTGCATAACACACTTGATGTATCTTAGTGCACTGATGTAGGGCAGAGCAGAGTAGCATGTAGGTTAGAGCAGAGTAGCACAGCAGGGAGGTAGCATAGCGAGACATGTTGCACTCCGCAGCCATCTGGTCCTAACAGGAAAAATATTCGTCAAAATCTGGATCACCCGCGGCCACCACGCAAATTACCACTCTCCGTTGGTGTTTGACAAGGACGACGGGGGTGATGGCGTATTGCCTCCTGTGCGCAAGCCCGGCAGACACCATGATGGTCTGCCCGCCACGATTGTGCATTGGTGGATGGTTGGGGCAGACACGGATTTGCTGTCACGTGCGCGGGCGCACCTGGCACGCTCTGCGCGTGTCCTGGACGTGGCGCACCTGACGCGGCTGGACTATGCGGCACACATGGCGCACGTGGAGCACGTGGCGTATCTGGCGCGCCAGGCGTGCCTGGCACGCTCGGGCCTCAGGGGAGCCTGGCGCACCGGGAGCGCGTGGCACGCGTGGCTCAACTCGCCCCAGCGTCGCGCACATGGGGTCTGTGCTGGTTTCCAGTAGCTGTCCATCCATAGGCGACCGCTGAACATGCTGAGGCTGGGGGGGGACGTTGGGAGGGCGGGTGAAGTGACCCAGACAGCTTGCGGTCGGGGAGGGTGTCTTGATCCTTCCCTACCCCTTCCCCCTGGGACCTGGACGACGCGTTTCGCGAGTTGTCAGAAGGTCTTGTCTGGCCTCGGTGGGAAGGCCAAACTCATTGATGTACGAAGGTGGTGGCCACATGTTGGCCTCCCCGGGGGGGCGCGTAATTACTACGGCCAATTCAGGGATCTATCTCTTCCAAGATGGCCCCAAGATGGCCCCCGAGTCTCCCAAGGGTGCCCCAAGACTGCCCCAAGAGGTGCCCTCGAGGCCCCAAGATACCCCCAAGAGGCCCCAAAGATGCCTCCAAGAGGCCACCAAGGGGCCCCAAGATGCCCCCCAGAGGCACGCAGTACATCCCCAGAGACCCTCGGGACTGCCAAGAAACTTCCAAGACGCCCCAAGAGGACTCCAAGAGGTTCCCGAAAGACATCCGAAGAGACTCCGAGATCCCGAAGCAAGCCATGCACGTGAGCGAAAGAGGCTTGTGGCCGCGCGTGCGCTCTTCATTCGAAGCCACGTACATCGTCGTGGTCTTGGGCCCCGCGTGGGCCGTCTTGATGCTATGCTGGGCATCTTGGATCGACACTTGGGCGACATGGGGCTCTCTTGGCCATCCCCTGGGACTTCCCGGGGCCCAAGCGAGCCCCAAGAGGGCTCCAATAAGGAGGCGGTGTCTGTGTGTCAAGTTTGTCTAAAAGGTCGGGCCCTCTAGGAGGCCTGCCTCTCAGGGCACTCGGAGGGCTTCCGCAGGGTCCCAAGAGGGGCCCAAGATGGCTCCAAGAAGGCCCGAAAGCTGACTTAACTATGATACAAGACGCTCTTCAATAAGGAGGCGGTTTGTGCCAATTTGGGCGTAACATGTCGAGCCCTCTTGGAGACCTGTTAGGGCCCTCAGAGGTCTCCCACAGGGCCCCAAGAGGGCGCAGGAGGGCCCCAAGACGACTCCAAGAAAACCAAACATGTAACGCACATGTCACACAAGACGCTCTCCACAAAGGAGGCGGTTTGTGTTAAATGTGTGTTGAAGTGCGGGCCCTCTTGGAGGCCTCTCAGGACCCTCTGAGAAGTCCCGCAGGGTCCCAAGAACGCCCAGGAGGGCCCCACGAGGGCCCAAAGATGGCTCAAAGAGGGCCCGAAATGTGAAACAAACTTTACACAAGACAAGCACCCCGACAAGCCGAGCCGTCGGAGATCTGGGACGGCACACGCAGCAGCAACAATGCCAGGCACCAGGGGCAGCCTAGACAGCACCAGCAGCATCAACGCCCAAAGCAACAACACCACCTGTAAGAACAACGATGAGAGAGACAGCAACGGAAAGATCATTCCAAGATGAATCCAAAGTTGTTTTGAACACATCTTAGGAATACCCCTGTCGTCCCAAAACATTCACCCATGCTATGCGATGGCCCCAGTATGACCCCAGAGCAGCCCTGTGGCCCCAAGAAGACACCGAGCGACGAGCGATCTGTCTTCCGACTGCACTGAGGCTACCGCGTGAACCCGATTTGACTCCGAGGTGGCCCCGGGCCGACGCCATGAGCCCGAGACGACTTCGAGAATGCCCCAAGATCATCCCTTTAACCCTAGTTGACCCCAAGATTGTGTCAGCGTGGCTCCAATGTGACTTCCATGCGTTCCTCCTGTCTGTCCTGTCACTTGGCTTAGGCCGATAGGACGGATGGGGGTGCTGGCCCTCCGCCCCCTCGTCGTCGTCTTCTTCCTCGTCCCCCTCGTCCTCCTCGCCCTCGTCGTCGTCGTCGTCGTCGTCGTCGTCGTCGTCGTCGTCGTCGTCGCTGTCCGCCTGGCCCACTTGGCCCCATACATAGCAGAAAACCGAATCCCCGACACACGCCGAATCCGTAGTTTCTCTGATGAAACCAAAAGGTGCCGATACCGCTACTCCCCAGGCCTCTCCCGGGGTGCGTTCTGCCCACAGTTTGGAGGCGGATCCAGCGGCGGCGCCGAGGGCCTCCCGGGACGCCCAACAAGGGGGACACCAGGGAAGGGTAGCAGTACGGGCACCGTTTCCTTTCTGTTGCATCTTCGGGGGACCTCGCCTGTCCCAAAAATTAATGTCTTTTGGGGGGCCCGACGCGTGCTCGATGCGGACTCGACGCGGATTTGGCGTGGATTCGACGCGGATTCGACACGGATTCGACACGGATCCGACGCGTCCGACATGGATTCGACACGGATTCGACGCGGACAGGGCCGCGACGGGACAGACAAGGTCCCCCGAGGATGCAACATAACCTCCTCATCTGGTACAGTCAGCCCCCGCATCGCATGGATGCGCGATGAGGGAACAAGGGCCTCGGATGCCCCTTCCGGAGCTTCTCGGGCGGGAAGCGTGGCCAGCGAGGGGACCGAGGAGGCAAGGAGGCTCGGGTCGGGCGAAAGGGGGGGATAGCAAAGGGGGGGGTTGAGAATCAGCTCACGTAGCTGATTTTCCCGGCGCCTCCCGGCGCCGGAGGCGTCTATGTATCGAGAAATGGGCCCCTCGGTGAGGCCGAAAACAGCTGCATGCAGCAAATTTCGTAACCCCCCCTTTCCCAATCCCCCCCTTTCGCCCAGCCCGAGATGCGAGGGCACCCTTCGGGCAGGATGCCCAGCCTCATCGTGCGGGTCGACTGTGAAGCTGGCCTCGCCCTTGTGCCCGGAGCCCTGCTCTTGAGCAGGGACCGGCCGTCCTGGCATTCCTAGAGGCCTACCACGGAATCATGTTCTTGGAACCCAAACCTGCTCTTAGAACAGAAGCGCGGCTCTTAGAACAGACCCCCGCTGTGTGAAAACAAGACGACAACCTCGGCCAGACACGTGCTGAGAACATCTCGTGCCGACCACGAAAAAAAACCTCAGAGCAACCTTGCGTGGGGGCCTGTCGGCAAGCCGGGATGCTTCGCCACCGCTTGCAGCCCCGCTCCGACCTTCTGCCCCCTCCCTTCGGCGGCGGGCCGCGGCGGCCGCGGCGCGGCCGCTGCGCGGCCGACGCCGGCGGCGGCCCGCTGCGCCCGCGGGTCGTCCGGCAGCAGGGTCGCGCACACGCCGTCCATGGCCGCCGCGGGCCCGCCGCGCGGCCGGGCGCGCCGCGGGCCCGCCGAGGGAGCCACGCGGGCGGGAGGGGAAGGACTGCGGCGGCGGGGGCAGCGCGCGGTTGCTGCTCGCAGCCTCTCTGCTCGGGGGGGCGGCGCTGCGGGTACGGGGTCGGAGTCGGAACCGGGAGCGCAGCCGGTATCGATCATGAGCACCCCAGAGAGAAGCCCCCTCGCTGCCGCCTTGCCTGGTCGGCCTTGCTCGGGACTTTGGGGGGTCAACCTTGTCTGTATGCGATCTAGGCTTTCACGCCCCGTACGTGTGGGGGAAAAGAAACCAGGAGGGAGGAGAAGGAGGAGAAGCCCGCCGAAAAAGCGGCTGATCGAGGGGCCGCGCTCCGAACGCTGCCCGCTCCCTGAGATCTGGGCACTGCAACTTCCTTTTCGCAACGAGCGCATTCGCCTGGCTCTGCGGGCCCCAGGGACACCACAGATCGACGCGGCTCGAGGCATGCCGCAGAAAACTTGGGGTCCATACAGGGCTCCAATCGTGACTGTTCGCGACGGTATCACGCCAGGTGTTCTTTCGCCCGGCTCTGGGACCTAGGACCACCACAGATCGATGCGGCTCGAATGACGCCGCAGACAGATGTGGTCTGGGGCTCCGCGCGGGACTTCCCGCGACTCCGCAACTTGTTTTCTTATTTGTTACCGCAGAATCGGATCTCAGTGTCTGGGAGCTGCCCCGCGGCGGCGGAAGAGGAGGAAGAGAAGCAGGAGAAGGCCGAGAAGGTTGAGGAGGAGGAGAAGGAGGAGGAGGAGGATGAGGAGAAGGAGGAGGAAGAGGGATGGGTGGAGGGGGTGGAGGGGGGGGAAGA